TTTTACAAATGCACTGGTAGCTCTATTTCTATCTTAGCTGTATATGTAGATGATATTTTGCTAACAGGTAATGATATGACAGAACTAGAAGTATTGAAATCTTTCCTAGATTCAGAATTCAAGATCAAGGATTTAGGTAACTTGCACTATTTTTTGGGCATTGAAGTCATTTGAGAGCCTCATGGTTTAATCCTCACCCAAAGAAAATTCATTTTGGAACTCTTATCTGAATATGATTGCCTTGGATTCAAACTTGTCTCTTCACCTCTGGATCCCACTCTAAAATTACAAGCAGACATGTGATCTCCTCTTCCAGATCCCAGTGTTTACCGACAGCTAATTGGACAACTAAATTTTCTAACTCATACGAGGCCTGATATCTCTTTTTTGGTCCAGCATCTTAGCCAATATATGCAGTCTCCATATCAAGCACATTTTGCAGTTCCACACCATATTCTTCGATATCTTCTTTCCAATCCTTGTTTGGAGATTTTTCTCAATTCCTCTCCTTCTTTCACTCTCCTAGGTTTTTGCGATTCTGATTGGGCTACTTTTCTAGATTCTAGACGGTCTATTAGTGGTTTTTTTTATTAGCCTAGGTGGTGGTCCTGTTTCATGGAAATCAAAGAAACAACCTTCCCTTTCCCTTTCATCCGCTGAAGTTGAGTACAGATCAATGAGAAGGGTGGTTACTGAGCTGACTTGGTTAGTTCGTCTCCTTTCTGATTTGTCTTTGCCTCCTTCCTTACCAATTTCTCTCCATTCAGACAGCCAAAAAGCAATTCATATTGCTAAAAATCATGTCTTTCATGAGCGGACGAAGCATGTTAACTTAGATTGTCACTTCGTCCGTCAACAATACCTCAATGGCTTGATTTCTCTTACTTTTCTTCCATCTTCATCTCAAGTAGCAGATTTGTTTACTAAGACTCTACCTGGTACTTCTCATCGTCTCCTATTGAACAAGTTGGGTGTTCGTTCCTCCCCCTCCAACTTGAGGGATGGTGTTGGATTTATTGGAGACTCATCGGAGAATAATCTTGAGAAAAAGGGATCAACAGCAACACGCGTTGACAACGTTTAACATAATCTTCTTTTTTTCAGACAACAAAAATTATAGTTTTACTTGAATTATAGTTTTACTTCTGGTTTCCATCTGTAAACTATAGTTTTACTTTTCCCTTTTTGCATCATGTAAATAGTAGTTTTGTTATTTAAGGTAGCTAATTATTAGGAGATAGTTGGGTAGTTGCTATCTTTTTCCAGTTTTATTCCACGTAAAGTAAACCTTCTCGGGGTTCACTTCCATGTAAATAGTAGTTTAGTTATTTAAGGTTAGGACATAATTAGGATAGTGGGGTAGTTGGTTATATTTTATATTTTGCTATATATACTTGTATTGTGCAGAGGAATAGAGACAGAAAACATTTAGCACAATCTCTTTTTATATTTTGCTATCTTTCATTAAGAAATATGTAATTATCATAGTTACAAGATGAATATTCTCCAATATGAAGTTGTAAGTGAATTTTTATTTTTCATATCTCCATCTTTTTGAGTTTTTAAATGTAACTTCGTAATTGATTTCTATATTTTTGTATTCTTCCTTTCTTATATCTTTAGGATATAAATATAATAAAGTTAATCCCAATTTATATTTATAATTAATTATTTCTAGGATAAGCATGTTCTTCATCACTACGTAATCTCTTGCGTCCTGCAGCTAACATGTTTTTTGTTGCAGACAGAATCAAAACAGAAAAAAAAAATGAGTAGAGATTTTGCAGTTTTATTTTCCAATATGAAGTGAGTAAAGAAGATGGTTAACAACCGTTATTATATAGTAATAAAACTAATTAGTGAAAAAATACCGGTTTAACTGCCACTACTATATATTTTATAAATATAGATACTTAAATTTTACCCTCTAATTCAAAATTATTAGTTTACTTTTACGTTTTATTTTCAATTTCTTTGTACTTATTCTTAGGGCAAAATTAATGGGAACAAATTATTTTTTGGATTTTTAATCTTTTGGTGATTTTTTATTTGGTATTCGGTACTCATATAGGAGTCCAACTAAATTCAGATTTGCACAATGCGAAATCCATTTCTGGGAATGACGGTCCTATAGAATCTTTACAATTTTTACGGACTTCGAATCCGAGCTCTTTGGTTAGGGGGGGAAGGGATCATAATCATCCCATCACAGCCCATAGAAAACATTCGAGCATGTTTCTCTAGTTTTTGATTTGGTATGTTTTTTTAAACAAATGATTTTACTTTATCATTTGTAATTTAGGTCACGTTTTGGAGGGGCGAAAAAATGGGTGAAGCAACTTTATAAAGCCACGTGACCTTTTTGGAATTAAAAAATAAGCTTTAGTTTTTATTTAATTCAGTAAATATACGTTTGTTCATGAAGATGGTAAATATGCATCATTTGTTAGACGATACGTAGACGTGTACCACTTTTATAACGAGGTATATTTGCCCCTTCTCCCTATAATTTACTAGTTATGCAGAACGTGCGTTGCACATTTGTCTCCTACTAATTCATAAAATTTGTACAAACACAATTTTATGTTGATAGTTATTTATCACAAAATATATTTTTATAGATATGCCAAAACTTGGATTGATTAATATGTATATGCATATGTATATGTATAAAGCTAATCTAATAATATGAATATGTATTTTATTTTTACTTATTTGTTTGAAAACTAAGAAATACATAAATATGTAAAATCAATTAAGATTATATAACACCTAATCTAATAATATGAATATTAATTAGCTTTAAATTTAAGAATAAAAATATACAACATTATGGGGTAATATTTTCTATAAATATTATAATAATCACTTTTTAAAACTAAAACTCTTAGTATTTTAACTTTTAATACAAATTTAAAAGGCTCCAATACAAAAAGCTAAAGAACATAAGAACAAAATTATACTCATCAAGAGTTCACGTAGCTTTAGATCAAAATTACTATACAACTCACGATCCTTATTTTATTTCTTCTTCTTATTTCACCCCATGATAAGCTTTAACTGAAATTACAAAATGATCTCGTATTGTTAATGCCTTGGTATGTGACATCTTTACATTATATTTACTTCTATAAAATTCAGACTATGAAGAATTTGGACTTGGGATTGAAAATGTGATCAGATGGTGAATGCATATGATGTGTCTGTTTAACATAGTATTTTCAAAATTTAACAAAGAGTCATTTTTGCTTCTTTTTTTTATGAAGTTATAAATAATTTTTTATTTTTTGAAGATTTTGGTGTTGGCATGTGTAATTGAAGAACAAAAAGAGTCTAGTGATGTAATGGAAGAAAAAAAAAGATTTTTAATAATTTAGTGACTTAACTTTTTTTAAAATATCTTTAAAATAAATTAAATAGAAGAAAATGTCACTTAACTTTTATAGAGCCTTTTTTGTAATCCAACTATAAGACTATAGTATTACACGTGCAATACTGTTTGACATTCTAAATATATATATAAAGAGAGGAAGGGTGGGGGTTGATGGAAATACATAAAAATTTAGCATCATATATATTGCTTATTTCTAAGGTATAGTATGAATAATGTCAAATACTCTGTGGATATAAAGTTATGCCTTTCAATATTATAAATTGCAAAATATTAGGAGAAATATTAATCATAAAATACCATACACAAAAAAAAAATACAATTATATTGATTTAGAAAACAATTTAATTTCAACAAACTCACTTTATTCAAGCTTGTTATAAAATTATGGGAACTCACTCCCACGTTCAACCTCAGTTATATATCCTTGTCTAAATTTTTATTGCTAGAACAGTAAATAGTGTCCAAAAAGTTTAGCTGTCAAATACTGTTTAAATAACTATTAAAGGAAAATCGACTAAAAAAATAAAATAATATTTTCTAATACAATTGAGGATCTTGAAAAATAAAAAACACATGAACCATAGAAAATGTGGATACATCTGGAATATATATAGCTAGAGGAGGCATACGTTTTTGATGAATTGAATAAACAAATAAATAAAGAAAAAATCAATTGAATAGGTAAGATGAATATGAACATTTCAAATTTTATTTTTCTAAACTTTAAGATTCTCAATAAACGTAATTAATTGATTAATATGTGGTCACTTCCCATTTAATTGATAATTCGTCATTTATTAGATGGTAAATATATTATTTTGGTACAAAAATAATATAGAATCAGTATTTAGATTAGAGGTAGTAATGTTGATTAATTTTAATGTACATTTTTGCACTTATTTTATTTTAAACTTATGTTTTTGTACTTTTAATATTAGTAAAGTATTATTATTATTATTATTATTATTATTATTATTAATATTACTATTATTACTATTATTATTATTATTAGTATTAGTATTACTATTACTATTATTATTATTATTGTTATTATTATTATTATTTTTATTATTATTATTCCTTGAATTCGGATGTTAACAAGCTAGATTCTCTAAACCTAATGTGGAAGCACAGACTATGACTACTCCTGTGCAGAGGCCTTTTGAGATTTCAGAATTTAAATTTAAATCAATTTATGGTTTCGAAGAACTTCTTGATAAAAAGTTTTCTGAATTTAGTGCAAAACCGATGGATTTATCTGAGATTTTTGCGGATGAAATGGAAAATATATACCTTTGATTTTAAAATTCATGTTTCTTTAGAATTCAATAAACTTCAGGGTTATTCCAAAAAGAATTGTGGTAATACTAAGTTTCCTCACAAGCCTAGCAAGTAAACTTATTACTATTCCAGACTCACTCCTCAAGATGTGCTTATAGAGGAACGAGATTGAAATCAGACTAATACCTCGTATAGCGGTTCTGAGATTTATGAATGGAACCTCGATGGTCTGACTGATAGACAGCTTACTATTCTTGTTCATAGAATGCTTATGTATGCTACTATCTGTAAAAATGATAAAAACACAGATAAAAATATTTGTAAAATGATAATTGCAGATTTTACTAGCCAACTTCGAGGTTGGTGGGATAATTATATGACCCTTGAGCAAAAAGTTGTTGTTATTAATGCTACTTCTAGTAGTGATGGTGTTGATAACCTAGGTATGGCTCTTGTTGCAAATAGAGAAGAAGTTGTATATGCCTTAGTCTTAACCATTTTAGAACATTTTAATGGTAGATTTACCAATCAGTTTGAAACTGTTCGTACCCTGTTAAATTGTCTACATTGTAGAACCTTGGGAGAATTCAGGTGGTATAAAGATACCTATTTAAGTAGGCTAATGGAACTACCCGAAAACAAGTTAAATAATTGGAAAGCCAACTTCATAGATGGCCTTCCCCCATTATTTGCAATAAGGGTTAAAAAGATGCTTAGAAATGAGCATGGTAAAATTCCCTACCAGGATTATACTTTTGGTCGACTTATAGGCGTTTGCATTCAAGAAGGGATAAATTTGTGCAATGAATTAAAGTTATCTATACAGCTTAAGATGGATAAGCTTAGAGAAAGATCTCAGCTAGGAGACTTTTGTACCCAGTTTGGTTTACCTGATATTTCGGCTAATAGCAAAAAGACCAAACATAGAGATTCTAGAGGCTCCAATCCCGACAAACCTTATAGAAAGAAAAGGTCTAAACATAGACATAGATCTAGGGAAGAACGGGACGAGAGAAAAGCTTATTGTAAATCTAATAGATTTACCAAGAATAGGTCTAAGCGGAAACTCGCCAAGATTAAATGTTATAAGTGTGGAAATTTTGGGCATTTAGCACCCAATTGCAAGCTTGAAAAGCTGAAAGCATTAGACCTTGATGAAGAAGTTCATGATAAGGTTTATAGTTTTTTATATACTTCTAGTTCTGAGTCCGATTATGATTCTGCTTCAGGTTCAGAAGAAGAAATGGAGTTGCCTGAATCATCTGATAATAATCAGCGTGATAATATGAATGCTTGCTATACTTGCAATGGTGATACTTGCTTATGTGAAAGTGATGAGTTCTTTTATAAACTGCAATCTCAATTTGAAGATTTGAATCTAAACACTATTACTTCTGATAATGTGATATAACTTATGAAAGAAGTTACTAATAATAACCTTCATGAAAAAATTATTCAATTAGTTGTTAATAATACTACTAGTTTTTCAAAAAATTTCTGAAAAACAAAAGAATGATTTTGAATATGAATATTCTGCTCCTTATTCTCTGTCTAAAATTAACAACAGACTTCATAAACAAATAGTTCATAAACAAACTATTTCTATGAGAGATTCATCTTTTGATGATTTGAAAGATGAAATTGAAAATTTGAAAAAGGAGAATAAATCTATTAAACAGAATCAAATGATATATGATCATCGTCTTACTCAGATTGAAATTGTTAATAACAAAGGAAAATATATTGCTGAAGATAATATTCTTGCAATACCTTTTAATCCTGATCCTAGACAAGGTATGTTTTTTGGAATGATGCAAATTGTTACTGCTCATAAATGGTGCACCATATTGATTGATAATCAGTTTTCCATAACTAATGTTGTTGTGATTGATAGTGGGGCCGATGTTAGTTGTATCCAAGTAGGTCTTGTACCTATTAAGTATTTTGAAAAAACTACTCATATGGTTAAATCTGCTTCGGGACATGCTTTAGATATAAAGTATAAACTGCCAATACGCGCATTTGCCAAAACAAAGTTTGCATTTTGCATTTCTTTTTCTTGGTTAAAAATCAGCTATACCCTCCAATTATACTTGGAACACCTTTTATAAATGCTATTTATCCATTTACTAGCATAACTGCTAAAGGATTTTCTGCTACTTATGCAGAATATTAGTTATACTTTTATCACTGACCCTATTTCTCGTGATATTAATGCTTTAATTGATATGAAGTAAAAGCATGTTGATTCTCTACAACGTGAATTGTTTAGTATGAATATATTTGATACTTTGAAATCCCCCAAAGTACAAGAAAAAATTAAATTAATTTCTGAACAAATTGCCATTTGGTTTGAAAAATGCTTCTTCTGAATTTCAAAAAATTATTAATGATATTTTCAACCCATATTTAGATTTCATCATTGTTTATATTGATGATATTTTTGTTTACTCAAAGACTCTTGAAATGCATACCAAACATTTAGACATTTTTCAAGAAAATTGTTAAACAGAATGGTTTGGTGATTTTTATTTCAAACTAATGTAAGATTTTTAGGACATCTTATTTGTCAGGGGAAGATTACCCCAATTCAACGATCGATTGAATTTACTTCAATGTTTCTTGATATTAATACAGATCAAACTCAATTGCAACGATTTTTGGGAAGTCTGAATTATACATCCCCCTTTTATAGAAAAATATCTCGAGATTTAGCTCCCTTATATGACAAGCTAAAAAAGGATCATAAATCTCCATGGACTGATAGTCACACCAATTTGGTAAAGAATATTAAACTTCGTGTTCAATATTTGCCTTGTCTGACCCTTGCTAACTCTGCATGGCAGAAGATTATTGAGACAGATGCGTCTAACATTGGTTATGGTGGAATATTGAAACAAATCAATCCCCATGACAAAAATGAATATTTAATCCGATTTCATTCCGGAAAATGGAGAGATGCTCAAAAGAAATATGCTACGGTGGCTCATGAAATGCTAACCATCGTCAAATGTGTATTAAAATTTCAAGATAATTTATATAATCAAAATTTTTTAATAAAAACCGATGCACAATCTATGAAATATATGTTTGATAAATATTTTAAACATGATGCTTCAAAATTAATTTTTGCTAGGTGGCAGGCCCATTTAGCTCCTTTTGATTTTGAAATCCATTATAAAAAGGGGAGTGATAACTCTCTTCCAGATTTCTTATCTAGAGAATACCTATCTTCACAATGAGTTTTTTGTCGCCCTTCTTTACAAATTAATCTTAGTACAGCCTTTCACCCTCAGACAGATGGCTAGGCTGAGCGCACAATTTTGACACTCGAGGATATGCTACAGGCGTGTACGCTAGACTTTAAGGAGAGTTGGGATGACCACTTACCTCTTATAGAGTTCACATACAATAATAGTTATCATTCCAGCATTGGGATGGCACCTTATGAGGCTTTGTATGGGCGAAAATGTAGATCCCCTATTAGATGGTTTGAGGTAGGTGAGTCAGGGTTGATTGGACCCGACTTAGTACAGTAGACGGTGGAGCAGGTCAAGCTCATACGGGAGAGGTTACTAATAGCTCAAAGCCGATAAAAGTCATACTCATATGTGCGATGAAGGGACTTAGAGTTTTGCGTCGATGCTTGGGTATTCTTAAAAGTCTCGCCTATGAAGGGGGTTATGAGATTTGGCAAAAAAAGCAAGATTAGTCCAAGATTCATTGGGCCATACCAGATACTTCGGAGGGTAGGACGAGTGGCTTATGAGTTTTAGAATTTCCTTCGGGGCTAGAATCTGTTCATCCAGTTTTCCATGTATCTATGCTACAGAAGTGCGTGAGAGACCCCTTCTCGGGTTGTCCCAGTTGAGGATGTTCAGATCACAGAGGAGTTGTCCTACGAGGAAACTTCAGTTGCCATATTAGATCGGTAGGTCCGTAAATTGAGGACCAAAGAGGTGGCTTCGGTTAAAGTATTGTGGAGAAACAAGAATAGAGAAGAGGTGACCTGGGAAACTAAGGATGACATGAGGTCCAAATATCCTCACTTGTTTCATATCCCAGGGTGATGTCATATTAGTTTATATTGGTGCAGTGAGGTAAGATACCTATCTGATTTTTTTTATATTGTTGCTTATTATTATTGTTGTTGTCGTTGTACATTTAATCGCACTGTTATTGCGGAGTTATAGTGCTTAGCAATTTATGTGGTCATGAGAGACGCCTAGGTTATACTTTTTACAGTTTAGGTTCCTGGATAGTGAAAAACTTAACCGCGTGACTTAGATTTTATTTTTTTTCATTCGAGGACGAATGTTTTTAAGAGGGGAAGGATGTAACACCCCGACTTTCCAAAACGTCTAAATTAACTCGTATCTTCGTGGAAAGACAAGGAGGATGAGTAATAAATTAAAAATGATGTGGTATGTCATATTTTAAGTGTTCAAGGGTTGTATCTCAAGTTTTGAAGTTAAGTAAGTGGCAAATTAAAAGTTGGCGAAAGTTACCGTAAGTTACTTTTTAAAGATTTGTCTAAAATTTGGGTCAAATGTCTTGGATGTTTTCTCCTAATATATAAAGAGTTAGAAAGCCTATCACCCATTAAATCGAAGGCTTACGAGTCTAGTTTTCAATGCATAAAACCCCGTATCAAACCGAGATCAGAGCAAAAGGTTGTGAGGGTTTTACTAGGGACTGCCAGGGCAGAATCCAGGTCGGGTAAAAAATATGGTATGTCGGCTTATTTAACGTTTTAAGCCATGAAAGCATTACATTTCAGTTCCAAACCAGAGAGAAAGCTTAAGAGAGAGTTCCTATGGAGTTCTAGCATGATGAAGGTTAGTTTTTGATGATTTCTACCATTAAACATTACCCCCGTGCCTAGAAATATAATCCCTACACGTGGCAATCATTTTTCCCTTCTATTAGCTGCGTTTGGAGCTGGTTTTTGAAGATATAAATTTGTAGCTATTGGTTTTTCTTCAAGGTTTACACTTGGTTAACTAAGGTAATCATTTCGGGACCCTTTTACGGTTGTTTTTATGAATTTCTACGGACGTTTCGACAAGTTGGGGAAATATGGAAAATCTCCCGATTTAGGATTAATTATGAACTATTTATAGGTGCGTACCAGGTGTATATTTAGTGTTTGCGAAGCTTAGGACATAAGGAACAACTTTTGTGAAGGAAATACGGTCTTTCGAGCATTCATTGGAAAGGTATGTTAAGGCTATTCCCTACTTACGACATGTTTCCTTAATGCTTAGGAGTAATGTAATTGGGTTGTTATCCTTGTTACACTTGTAGCCATTATCGTTGATTGTTGGCTGCTCGAGTTGATATAATCCTCCCTTATCGAGATTCTTATTCAGTTAGTAGCGTCCCTATGTTGGACACGACTTAGAGGCTATTTGTATAGGTTGCTTATAACTAAATTGCTCACTTTTAGTGATTGGATTATTATTGTTACCCTTAGGGATATTGTGGTTACCTGTAGGAATGTGATCTATGCCTAGAAGGGCTATGTTCTGCCTACAGGGTTATATTGGTGCCTAAAAGGGCTATGAGTTTCCTACGGGGATATATTGATGTCTAGAAGGGCTATGAGTTTCCTACAGGGTAATATTGACACCTAAGAAGGCTATGTGCTTCCTATAGGGACATGTTGTTGCCTAAGAGGGCTATGAGTTGTCTATAAGCTATGCTGATGCCTAAGAGAGCTATGTGATGCTTACGGGGCTATATTAATGCCTAAGAGGGCTATGTGACTACCTACGGGGCTAGGGGACTACCAATAGGGGTATATAGGTTGATTGGCACCTTTCGGGCTTATGGGGGCCTGAGTAGGGGGTCATGTGTGTTGTTTCTACTTGCCGAGCTTATGAGGGCTTAGGTAGGCTAATGTTTTATTATTTTTTGATAAGTTTAGATTTAGGAGTAGGTCAGTACACTTATCTTATCCTTGATTTATTTATCCGATTATTCAAGTATATCAGGATACCTCCTCATAGTCTATTGCCTTTCATACTCTGTACATTATTTTGTACTGACGCCCCATTGCCTTGGGGGTGCTGCATTCATGCATGCAGGTCCTGACAGACGACCGAGTAGACATCCTCAGCAGCAAGATTGACTTTTATCCTGTTGGCTAGCCCCTTTCCTCCGGAGGTGCCAGAGTTGGGCGGTTTGTTACCTTTGTTGTATATATCTTTATGGGTAGTCTGGGGCCTTGTCCCGCTAATCTTTACTACTCTTAGAGGATTGCAGACTAGTGTGTAGGGGTGTATAGCTACGTTATGGCCATACTGACCTATGTTGTTGGTTTGCTGAAGCTTGTGAGTTGTTTGATGTATTGTATTGATATATACCTGCTTTTAGTTTTGGTATAGATATCATGGTGGTCTCGACGGC